CCTGCGAGTCCAGGAGGGGCTGGGTATCTTTCTCACATCATTCTGAGAGCCTTTCAGTTTCAGACTGACATTTTGTGCTTCCACCACTACACACTGATGCCCCACTGCCCACTGGCTCTGGGAAACCCCCACATGAACTGGCCTCTCCATTCAGTGTGGCAACCAATCTGCTTCCCATCCCTCTTGGTAATTAACCCATCTGACCATATCATTTACCCATTTCACTGGAGTCCCCATTCTTTCAGTCATGGATGATATGTGGTTATGCTAGGGCCAGTCCAAGGGGTTCTATAATAGCTACGTGTATAGCTCACCATACGCATGCCCTCTGCTAAGTGCTTTGCCCATACTAACTCATTTATCTTCACATCGGTCTTATCGTTCCCATTTCACAAATGAGGAAACTGAGGCCCGGGGGGTAAGTAACTTGCTCCAGGGTCACTCAACTGGAAACAGGCAAAGCTGGGATTCTAGCTCAGGTAGTAAGGCTCCAGAACTCCTAATGACTTGGGAGGATGGTTTCTGGAAGCAGCTGAGAGCCAAAGGATGAAGAGTTAGCCAGGGAAGGTGTGATAATGATGTGCCAGGCAAGATGCTGGGAAGGAAACAATTAAAACAAAGAGAACACTCCTGCCCTGGCTCTCCGTGCAATGTGAAATCTTATCTTGAACAGAAAAATATTTACCTTCCTTGCTAAGACTTTGTTTGTGTTTGGGTATCTTGTCTATTTGATTGTAGATAAAAGCTTTCCCATTTTCTCTTTCAATTTTCTCTCCAGATGGCAGCTAACTTCAAAGCTTAACTGAGCCATTGGTTTCTGAAAATCTGTTCACATCCCTTAGCCTGTAAATTTCTTGAGTCTGGGGTGCACCCTTCTTTCTCTCCCACAGTACCTCCATAGTGCCTTAATACATATTTGTTAAATAAATGAATAAGCAAACTGAGAGAACAATTTAGCCTCGGAAATGCAGAACGGCTACATCTAAAAGTTCCCATTACCTCATCCTTGTTCCTTGAAATACTGGGGTTATTTTACTCTCATCAAACTTAAAATTATATTTTGTAATGGGCATTTACGTACTTATTTGTTATGAACCTTTTGTCATCCCTCAAATCAAATACATGTATTTTTTTCTTTTTCAACTTGGTAAAAACTAGAAAAAAATCTTCAGGAATAAAAAGGCTCCCAGTTCTTATCAAACATTCAGAAGGTGCATTCTGAGCGGCCAAGGCTGCTTATCCAGGTGGAAAGTGGCTGTAAACCCCTGCACCGCAAGCAGCAGTTCTCACCTCTGCCTGCATCTCAGAATCATTTAGAACATACTCATGCCTGGGCCCTAAGAGAGTCTGATTTAATTGGTCTGAGTGGGGGCCTGGGCACCAATTTTTTATTTTAAAGCTCCTCAGGTGGTTCTAATGAGCAACCATCGCGGTGAACCACTGGGCCAGAACAATATCACTTTTTACCAGGGAGTGAGTAAAATGACAAAGATTGGTCGGAAGGGTGAGAAAGTCCTCAGCCCTTCAAGCGAGGCCAGCACAGAGACGGAAGACAGCCTTCCCGATGAGGCTCTCTTACTCGTCCCTGGACTCCTGGCCCCAGCATCTCCCAGCACCGTGGGAAGCCCCAGACCACTTGGCTCAGAGGGGAGAGGTAGGAAATGCTCATGGATACACTCTGGCCTCACAGGGCTTCACCCAGGGCCTCCCAACTGCAGCAACAAAATGACGTGGTTTTTATTACACAGCTCCAAGCAAGGGCCTTCATATTCAGTGGTCAAACTGAAGGGAAAAAAATGGTACTATCTTCAGCATCAGCAGCGAGGAAGGGATGATCTGATCCCTCTATTCCAGACAGGAAGAGAAAGTTGTCTGGCTCCCAGGGGAGAGCTGGGGGTTGGGGCAGCAGCCACTGTGCTGGAGGGGAAAAGTGAAAGGAGAGGCACTGGCCAAGTCGGCCAGCAGCAGCTTCATGCCATTTTTGGGTGTTCTCACCAGGCTGGGGAACAGTGGTCAAAGAAGTGAAGGGGAAAGCTGGTCCCTCACATTAGGCCTATATGCAGCTGGGGATGATCAACAGCAGGGTCTGAACTTGGAATCTACGTGGATGCCCACAGAAACTGTATACACGATTTGCGTGTGTGTGTATGCGCGTGCTTAAGGGAAAGGTTTTCTGTCTTTCATCAGCTTCCTAAAGATGAAGGATGACAACTCACCCTGCGCAACATCTGCTCTAAGCTGAACACCTATTTGTCACCTGCACACCCTGGCCCATCAGATTTGTTTGACTGAAGGGAGCAGGGCTGGGCCACAGCAAATTACAGAAGTAGATGACGTTCGTCCTCTGTGCTCAGCCCCAGGGGTGTAGCTTCCACATGTTCAGATGGCCTGAGCACAGCTAATTGTCACCAGCTTTGTCCCCCCGCCAAGCTTGGGGCTTCCCCTCCCTGCCCAAGCACAGGGCTCTCCCAGCTTCTCTACATCTCTGCTCTTCCCTTCTGCCCCTGTGCTCCCAGATCTGAAGCCATTTTTCTCTGTCTGTACCTAGGTCCATCACTCTACCCTTGACCTTCAAAGTTCAGCAACTGTGATGTATTCTTGAGAAGCCCTCCCCAGCCTTCTGGCTCCTAGTACCATGCTGACTTGTCACCCTCAGGATTCCGGGCTGAACTTCCAAGGTGGTGGGCAAAGGGGCAGTGCCCAGGTCAACTTTTCCTCCCTGGGAGCAGAGGCCAGGGCTTGTCTATTAACTAACGCATGTTTCAGAAAGTCCATGAGGAGGACACATTGTTTTAGAGAAAACCATTAGCAGTGACTTTGTGGATTAATGCTACACTATGACGAAAATAAGAGACAACTACCTAACTAGTTTTAGATGTGGTAAGAAAGAAATTCTAATTACTCTCATTTATATATGTTGCTTATTATGCATGCCTAATTCCCACGCAGCATAATAATGGTGTAGGGATCATTAAATGGATCAGTTTACTTTCGTTTCAAAGCTGAACTCTCTTCAGGTATGTCAGTCTTGAAAGTTTGCTGATTCTGTGGCAGGGCTGTCTGCTTTCAATTTAGGGGGAAAAAATCATTAGATGAGAATGTTGACCTAGAAAAGGAAGCCAGGGAGGGGAGAGGAGCCGAGTAGGCCACGGCCCTCTGCATCCTTCCTGATTGACTGCATGGCCTTAGGCAGGTCAATTTACCTCTCCCGGCCTCCTCGCCTCCTCCCCAGGGCTAGGAGCAATGGGTACTGGTTTTCAATTTTCTTTAAGCAGTAGCTCCCTTCCTTTTTTTTCCAAATGAAACATAGATGGAAGCCCAAAATATAAAGCAGGTGAAAGAAGAGCTGTCTAAGGCTGCCTTTGAAGTGTCTTCAGGGAAGCTTGGGATTCTTGCTCATCTGATGATCTATGACATTGCAAGAATGGGGCAGGACTGGCAACCACCCCTATGCAACTCTGGCAGCTTTGGAGGGAGGGCCCAGACTGACACCCACATGGCGGAAGGTGGCATCCCAGGAGCATTCCTGGTGAACCTGGACTTCAGCCTGAAGGCCCCTGCAAAAACAGGTGGAGGCAAACATCACATTGTGCACCTCTGAGGGTAGTAGTTCAGATGCACACTCGGAGTTCTCTCACATTCCAGAAAACTCATTCCAAGCGATTTTATTTCAAACCTACCTCTACAGATTGTCGGAGAGGATTAAACGAACCGACTCAGTTATGCCTCAATTTCAAAAAAGGCAGTTTTGAAACCTGTGGTCCCCCAAGCTCGAAAATACTGAGCCGTTTGTCCTAATGACACAGCAGACTCTGACCTCCAGCATACCGCAGGAATATCACACCACTGCAAATTACTAGGTGGTGCTGAGTCCTTAAAAAAACCGGAACTGAAACAAAAGCATTGCCCTGTTTTTGAAATGCACATTCGATAGGAGCTAATCAAATAGTTTTTGAGATGATTTTCCTGGAGGCAGAATTATTCTGCATAGTTAAACAGCTCTTCAGTTTGCCCCTTCGTTGTGTCTATGTATAAACACACGGCCCATATAGTGGACTATTTTCTCTCTCACTGAAGTTTCTGAAGACAAGGCTTTTTTTGTCACGGGTAAGCGCAGGGCCAGTCAACCTTACAAAAGGAGTCATTTAATGCTCAATTTCCCCAACTTTCCTATGATTAAAAACTTCTAACCTCAAATGCTGTTATTGTGTTCTAGATTTTCTTTCCCCGTCCCCCCATTAATGTTTAAATTGTTTCTACTCTGCAGGATCCCTTCTCACCCCCCCCCCCCGCCCCCGCATCTGACCTTGAAAACAGAGCCGCTCTCCCTTTCTTTGACATACCCTACACTATTTTAAAATCGAGGCCCTTTGACCTTTTTGCAACACTCTTCTTGTCTGACACCAAATGCGAATCTGAAAGCCGAGAGGAGGTAGAGGGTCCGGAGGTTGGGAAGGGGAGGGAGGGAGGTACTATATATTTGGCATCGGTTCAGAAATTCAGAAAATGTTTGCGCAACCACTCCCCCAGCCAGGATCCACCGCACCCCCTGCCTTCCAGCACATTAATAAAAAAAGATGTGAGCGGATGAAATTGGAGAGCCCAGGAGGGACACCTAAGGCGGTCATAACTACGTACCCGGAGAAGCCATCACCCTCCCACATGTCCAGCCCTCATCCCTCCCCTCCGATATCCAGAAGCGAAGACCAGGACCTCTCCAGCTCCCACCCCCACCCCCCAGAGGTAGCCGGTTAAACTTGTAACAGCGCCGCCCAGTAACGGCTTGTGTGAGACAAACGGAAGGACTGACACAACCTCCGCACGTCGGGTGGCAGCGCTGTGCACCGTAAGAATCATATGCGTTCTTTAGGGGAAAAAAAAGTACAATAAGCGCACAGGCCTGGAATACATTAACTTGTGAACTGAATCTCACACACCCCAGGAGAGTCCATCTCTCCCTCAAACAAAAAGAAGGGGAAGAAAAGGCGAAGGCACTTTACCATCCTGTCCTGAGCTTTCCAGATATTCGGTCAGGTCACAGCCAAAGGCACTGGCGGCTCCCTTTCGTTTCAGCTTCTGCTTGGCACCCTTGTTCTTCATGAGTTAGTCCCAAAGAGGTTGCCCCTCCGTCTCCCCCTCCCCTCTGCTTGGCACCGCGCCGAAGATGGTCTCCGGGCTTAGCTCACTGGCTGCGGCGCGGCGCTGGGGGGCCGCATGGGCGTCCAGAAGAGCCGGGGCCCGGGGCAGGGCGCAGGGACCCCGCGCGGCGCGGAGCCTCAAGTCCACGGCGCGCGCCTCCAGGGCCGCGGTGCCGGAGGCCGTGCAGAGCTGGCAGCCGCGGGCCGGCGAGCTTGGGAGTGTCACTTCCTCACTCGGAGTCCCAGGGACTTTCACAGGCTCCTGCGGTGTCTTCGGGTGTTTTCCTCCGCTTCAGAGGGAGGGCGAGCTCTTCTTTCCGCCTTTCTAGATGCCCCGGCGAGGACGCGAGCGGGGGAAGCGGGCAGCGGCCGGGGGCGAGGAGACAGCCCTGGGGCTGCGGCGGGTCCTGCTCCCTGCGCCCGCGGCCGTGCCTTCAGACGGCTTGGGTACAACGAAAAACAAGCATCCTGTCTCTCCCACCCGCCCTCACGCCTTCCTTTTTTTCCTGTCTTACAAATCCTAGGATCATCCAGCTCAGGAAATGCTGGAAGGAAGTTCGCTAGGGAGGGGGGCGGAGGGTGGAAATTTTTGGCAGCTCTGAGCTCGTGTGTGTATGGAGCCGGAGGAAGTAGGTGGGTGGGTTGAGGAGCGCGGGGTGGGGGCGAGAACGCGCTCTGCCGAGAGCTGCTCTGCGCCTCCCGAGAGAACCGGGCGGCTCGGGAGGAAATCGCCGCTCTCCGAGGAGGACCCGCGCCGAGCGCCCGCTTCCTGCCCCGCCGACGGCGCTTTGAAGGCGCCCGGAGGAGGCGCGCTGGCTTTCTGGATGGAGGGCGCGAGGTGGGGTTCAGAAAAAGTCCTGCCTTGCTTTTATCCTCACTGTCATCCTCTCCTTGACACTTTCTATTTCGGTGCCTGCCTTCTCCTACACAAACACTTCAATGACAGAAACAGAGACTGGGATTCCAGCGGAGAAACCTGACATGGAGCCGGTTCCCGCCCGCCCCTCCCATCCTCCTCTCCCAGGTACCCCCGACCCCACCACCTCCCCTCGGCGCCCAGCGAAGCACAGAGGCTGCCGCATTGTAACCACCGCCCAGGAAATCAGATTTCTGGTTACACAGTCAAGTTCACACACACACACACACACACACACACACACCCCTTATTGCCAAGTTTGCTAAGTGGAAGTGATTTGGGGGGGGGGGATCCAGGATATAAGGTGACTCCAATATTCCAGCATAATGTGGAGAAAACAATCTGCCAGGTTGTCTCACAATTTGTCTCAAGTTTTCCGGAAGGTATGGTTTTTCTTCTCCGGTTAGATTTGGAATTCCTTGACTTCTGTGTACTCAGCACACAGTGAGCACTCAGATTCTTGTGATTTAACCATTTGAAGCTTAGATTAAACATCCTGTATACATTCAAATCCATATATAGGCTTGAAGGGTAGGGACGTTCATTCAGCTCAGATTGCTGTCAAAAGCTTTGTGTGCGGGATTTTAGTTATCGACTCTCTTTACATTCATTATATCTCCTATGTATCACCGTGACAGTGTATGAACTTTGACCCTGGACATTCTCTCTTTGTCAGAGGTCACAGTTGATGGGCTGCCTGCTGAATCTGGCCCACAGATATGTTTGGTTTGGCACACACCGTGCTTTAAATTTTTTAAAAATTAATTGCCAACGTTAAAGAGTTAAAAGATTTCACGTAAGAGATCTGGATTTCCAGCTTCTCTTATAAAAATGGAAGATCTGGTAACACCGAAAGTGCGTTCCCAAATGGCAAGGACTGCTGAGGTCAGGTTGCGATAGCCCCAGCGGAGGCGCCCGCTTTAGAGAGAGGAGTCTTCCAGTTTCGAAGCCCCAACTGCCTGTCTTCCCACCTTGGCACCCGCCTGGCCTCTGGGGCCACTTGAGTTCTCAGCCCATGCTCTGTATGTGGTGCCTCCTTCCTTCCATGTTCCATCTGCCTCTCAGTGACACCAGCATTGCCCGGTCATCTTGGCGAGACGTCTTCAAGTAACCACTGACTCATTTCTCTCCTTCCGCCCCCACCTCCAGGCTAGTCCTGCCCAGACCGATGAGTCCTTCAGAATGCCCCTCCTCTGGATTCCTTCCTTTCCAGGCCCATTCAGTGAGAATCTTCACTCAGTTTTTAGAATGACTCCTAGTGGGGTTTGCTGAGTCCTGTCTCTTTCCACTTCTTCCATCCTATGTACTAAAGGCCTGAGGAGTCTTCCGGAGGGGTTGCTGCTGTTATATGCCTGCTTTGCTCAGTGACTCCCTGTTTCCTACTGTCAGGACAGCAATTTCTAAGCATTTTGTAAGCTTCTTGGAGAACATTTGCAAGGTATTTAGTATAATAGCTTGTTCCTCCCTTTATTTACAGAGCAGCATCTCCACATGAGACTATAATTATTACTATTAACACTTGTTTAGGAGTTTTCTGTAGCAAGGACTTTCGTATTCCTTATTTCATCTGACCTAGGGTGGATTTCATCACTTTGGCAGCAAAGGAGAAAGGCTGAAGGGGTGTTTTTTTTTCTAGGTCCGGGCCCCCAGGGCACAAATTGTGGATAAATTGTCAAGCCCTGTGAATTACCTTTTTAAATCTTTAAAGACATGCTTTTAACTTTTCATTTTGAAGTGATTTCAGCTTATAAAAAATTTGCAAAAAATAGTCGAATTCCCCAATACCCATCGTTCCCAAATATTAATATCTTATATAACCAGAGTACAATTATTAAAATTGGGAAATTTATATTGGCACAATAATATTAAATAATCAACAGGCCTTATTTGAATATGAATTAATTTTAATTACATAAAATTTTTATTAAATGTGGTCTGTCTCACAGGACAGTCCACCAGTTAAGTATGGAAACAGTAATTTACAAGCAATTATCAAAACAGTTCACAGTGTAACATTAGCTACGTACCAGATCCCCATAATTACCATCAAACCCAGCAGGAGTAGGTTGTCACAAAACAGGGCTGCCTAGGTGACCCATTAAAGCTAGCGTCCTTGACACACTCCTAAGATTCCTCTGTGTTTTACTGAGGATTCCCCAAAGGGACTCCACAATTGTAGAATTTTTAACCTGGGACAGTCTGAGGCCTTTTGGTCCCTGCTTCAGGATAAGTTGGGTTCCAGTTTTTTAGGGTTCAGGGATGAGGTAGGACTGAGCACCTGGCAGGGCAGCTGTGATGTCTGGGCTGATTGAACAAACGTTTGAACTGCGTATATGGGGCCTCTTTGTGTCTATTTGATCACTCTCAATTACCTACAACTTGTAGTGGGAAGAACTCACAATTTATCAAGTCAGATAATGACACACGGTGACAACCTGACCCAGGAAGCTGGAAAACTGTCCCCTCCCCATTTGTTCCCCATCCCCTCTTATCGTGCTAGGTGCCAAACTTGAATCTAGCCCTCGTTCTAGACATTCTTTTTCTATTTTTCTTTCTCTTTCCTTCCACTACTTTTCTCTTTTTCTTCCCATTTTTCTCTTTCTCTTTGCTTACTTTAAGATGTGTACCTTTTTCTGGGTCTGTGGAAGAAAATCAGATTTGGGTTCCAAAGAGTGTTTCCGTTGGGCTGCAGATTTCCCAGGAAGCAAGGTTATATGGAGCTAGTGTAGGAATGTTACCAGGAGGACCAATTAAGCTATTTGGTGATAATATAAATTATGCCGTTAGCAGATTATCATGGTGCAAAAAGCCTTTCACTCACATGCCTATGATTCATCTTATCTGCAGCTGTTTAAGACTGATGCCTATCAAAGTGTACCGTCTGCCTCCTTCGCTCACCCAGGATGGTAGTGATCTTCTCCACCAGAAATAGATACAGAAGACAGAGAGTGGGCATTGGGAGACTTTAATGTCACCTGTGATCTAGGCTTTTCTTTTACTTGGTTTGTCCGTAAAACTAGAGTTAGCGATCAGCAATGTTAGAGTGCTCCCTCCTCGCCTGGAGCCCGAGGAATTAAATCCTCTGATGTGGCTCCTTGTCCTTGGACTGTGGGCAACATGTTCTGAATTCTACATTCTGGATACAAGAGTGTTAGCTCATCCTCCTGATCAGTACATTTTCTCTCTCCCTGTCCTCTCCTCCTTCCCAGTTTAAAGATGCTAGTCTTGTCTCTGCTTGTTGGGTGTTATGGGCTGAATTGTGCCCCTCCCCAGTTCATATGTTGGAGGCCTAACCAGTACTTCAGAATATGGCTATATTTCAGAATATGACTGTATTTGGGGGTGAGGCCTTTAAAGAGATGATTAAGTTAAATGAGGCTATTAGAGTGGGCCCTAATCCAGTCTGACTGGTGTCCTTGTGAGAAGGGGAGATTAGGACACAGAGAGACACCAGGGATGTGCACACGCAGAAAAAAGGCCAGTGAGGACACAGCGAGAAGGCGGCCGTCTGCAAGCTAAGGAGAGGCCTCAGGAGAAACCAAACCTACAACACCTTGATCTTGGATGTCCAGCCTCCAGCACTGTGAGAAAATAAATTTCTGATGTTTGAGTCACCCAGTCTATGGTATTTTGTTATGGCGGCTCTAGCAGACGCATATACTGGGTGAGGCTCTTCTATGAGAGATGACTTGTGCCCACCCTGAGCCCAGCCACCAGTGCCCTGAGTCTCTGAAACCAGTAGAGGATGAGTATGGCCAGAGCAAAAGGGCCTCTGGAAAGTTATGTATCCCAGCTCCATTATGGCATTTCCCTGTGCTGGGGTTCCCAGATTTAGGTATCCTGCAAATCATTGCTTCTAAGTGTCCAGATGAGACTGGATAAGCATACTTAGTATGGTTGTGGTTGGGGGGAGGGCCACATTACCGATCTCTAATCAAACAGAGCAATTGGAGGAGAGGTCAACTTGATGGGATAGAAGGAACGAGAACCAGAATCAGTCTCCCAGCCCTAGAAGCAGGGATATGGTATAGCCTGCCAGCAGTATGTCCTGAGTCATGCCAGCTGATGTCCCATTGCTACACCACCTCTGCAACCATGGAAGCCAGTTTTGCTTCTAAATGGGCTTCTGAGAGCAAGGAGGTGGGGTGATAAGAAAGATAACTGTAACAACAATGGAGAAGGAGGAGAGCTTTAAAGGTTCCACTCTCAGCTAGAAGTTGAAGAACAGACATAGATATTATTATACTTGACATTCTCTGTCTGTCTGTCTCTGTAGCATTGTATATTTTAGTTCCTGTTACTCAGGGCGAAAAAAAAAAGGATTGGGAAACTGCTTTATGGCCTCACTTCCCCAGTTATTCAGCTGCCTCCCATCAACTAGGCATTTTGGGGTAAAAAGGGTGGAAGGCGAGGGAAGAGTGAAAAAGAAAGACGAAGACTTGATTATAAAAAATGAAGTCTTACTAACTGTTTATAATAAAATTGCATTGATCGGTGCCCCCACCTGCTAATTCAGAATCTCAGATTTTTATTTAAAAGACTAGATATAGGAGAGAGTGGAGTCCAAGATGACTCCAGTTTATAACACTGGCGGCTGGCAGGGGTAAAAACTATTTTTTGGGGAGCCGGCTCCGTGGCCGAGAGGTTAAGTTCGCGCGCTCCGCTGCAGCGGCCCAGGGTT